CCAACCTTAATGATTCTGTGATTCTCTTCTGTGATCTCTTATGTGCATCTATAATCCCAGGTAAATCTGGGATATTCTCTAATTATAATATGAATTGCTGGCACATTCTTAAGTTAGTAGAAGTTTGTCAGTAGAGCCAGTATTTCATCTCTGTGTTGGTACTGTGGATGAGTTTTTGATTCCCCCCCCCCCCCACCCCCCCACCTTTATAGAACCAATTGAAAACAGTGTGTGTGTTTGTGACAGCTAGGGGGGTGTAAAATGATTGCTCAGTTCTTTTGTTCTCATCGTTTTGAACACGGAGTCTTTTAGCTGTTGTAAGTAAACCCAATGCAGGTTGTTTGGCTGGGAGTGTGTGTATCTGTTTTGATAAGCTGACTTTGATTAGCAGAAATATATGCTCTGCTACCATGCATTGAGAAGGAAGGTGCTGTAATGAAAAGGATAGAATACACCACAACTCTGGGTATTTCTTTGTATGCTATGATTTAATGTACTTGAAGCTAAGCCTTACTAGAAGAGCTAGTTTATCTGATGGCGTTCGATAGCTGCCGTATTAGAACAGCTCTTTGGTAAGTAGTGTATTTTTTTTCCTCTACAGGCCAAGTCAAACCAGGCTTTGTCACCTTACTTGGAGCCTCAATAATTCAGTATGTTTTTCTGGTGCTTATTTACACAGGAACTGTACAACAGCAGTACCAGCTGTGTATCACTTGCATTGAGGCAGACCCATATAAGAACTGTTTGTGACTTAGTAAGGTTGATTAATTTTCTTTTTCTTTCCCCCGCCGTCCCCGCCGTTCCTAGCAGATATATGGAGCGATCATTCATTTCAGACAGACCCGGACTTACCACCTGGATGGAAAAAAATCAATGACATTGCTGGGATCTACTATTGGCACATACCAACAGGAACAACTCAATGGCAGCGTCCAGTGTCCATCCCAACAGATCTCCAGGGCTCACGAAAAGGATCCCTTGGTTCCATTACTCCATCTCCTACTCCAGAAACTGAGGTAACATACTGCGTCTTCTTGGCTGCATACTGTAAAGAAAATTGAAATAACTTTTTGAACTTGCAGGTTTAACTGTTAGCTAAACTGATCGTTAGAATATGGGGCCAGATAATATCCCAACGCGTAGCTATTTACTGATAATACATCATAAGTATCTATTTTCTATGTGCGTTTTCTGATGGCTGTGCCTCATGAAACATCCTAAACTTTGAATGTGTAGGATGAAATCAGACATATCTCAGATCAATTAGAGAGCCAGTGCCTGATCAATGTGAAACTACTGCAGTTCTGTAGCATGCGCTGAAGCATTGCTGCACTATATAGATGCAGGATACATACAATTTTTGCACACTATTCAGGTCTTTTGGCTGGAACTTTGTTTGCATCTCTTCTTTTTGGTTCACTTGGTGAGAGTATCACACAAAGATGTATCAGTCTTCATTTGAGACACTAGTTCCTTTACAGGGTAGTTTCTATTGAATAAACATGAAGTATTCTCAAGTGTAAGTCTCTTAACATCATGCCAGTGCAAACTATCTGCACAAGTGGATCACTGTGTTGCAGTCAGTCTTTAACTAGAAACAGAAAGAAATGCATTCTCTCTTCCACATGTACTGAAAGAGCAATATGTGAAACCGCCTTTTAAAATAATCCTTTCAGGCACAATCCAGGGGGTTGGTTGGTGTCATATAAGAAGAAAAATAAAAGAAACTATCAGAAAGAAGAGTATGCTTCAAAATATGCAGTCACTTTGTTTTAGTATGCTCGGAAGACTTCTATGGAATTAAATACTAATATAAAATAAAATTGTTTTGAAATTAATTCTTTTTCATACTAACTTTTCAGAAGAAGGTCCAGAATTTTATGAAATCAAGGGAAGTCTTTGTACTAGCTTTCAGTTTTGGATCAGGAAATCTGTAGGTTTTATTTATTTTTTCTTTAAAATGTATTTAGATATGACATTTGTTTTGTTCTTGATTTTGTTGATATATGCACCAAAATAACTTAAATGAAAGTTAAGAGGAGTTAAGGAAATTCAAGTATGTATTACCATCTTGACCTGAAACTTTTATCCTGTATAGGCTTAAACATGTACATTCTTGTTCATTATTTTAGAAAAATTGTTCACACATGTTCTTAAATGCTACTCATAAGGTTTGCAAACTTGACCACAGCATTTCAGTTATGGTTTACATCAGTCAAGCTCCCATGGAATGTACTGTGCACCAAGCATGCTGGAAATTATTTCTGAGGGGGATTCATGGAGAAAGAACAGTAATTGTTGTCATTCAGGTAGAAAACAAGAAAAAAATCCAGAAATACTGAATGTTAAGTGCTGTACATACTTCCAAGTATAAATTCCTGTAATGTACACTTACTTTACCATTAAGTGTTTTTCTTGCTCTAAAATATGGAGAACAGGATTTTAATTGGTAAGTTATAGATACCTTTCACAAAAACCCAGAAATCAGTACATTTGGTAAATTGCAGGGAAAATGTGTATATTAATTTCAAATATTTTTCTACCTCTGTTTAAAATGTCTTTAAAATGAAAATTTCACAGCTGCTGGTAATGTGGCAGATGCACTTTTAATCTTTCACAATTTTGTTTGTTTTAAATGAGGAGTAGTTTGTGATTATAAATAATGATCATTAATTCTCAGCAGCATCATGGAGAATACAAAATGTATGAATTAGAAAAACATAGATTTTAATACAACGTACATGTCTTAAATAAGACATTTGAGGAGTCATTCTGAAATGCCCTGTATGTGAGTATGTAGAAGGCTAATCTAGGTTTTGATATGGCAGTTCTAATTTAGCAAGGAATTTGATCCAGCTAAGACTTCTGCATATACAGTTCTGTGGCAGCATCAAGACCATATACTGTAGTGTAAAAGATGATACAGAAAATAAGCAAGTTTCCAAAATTTCTATTAGTATGATATTATGTGGTTATTTTAATTGTAGATATAGACAAACATATTTGTCTCTTGAAGGTTTCTGCATTCATTGATAAGCATCTTGTATTCCATTATTGAAACAATACTGATTTTTTTTTTACTTGGTGGTTATTAAGATAGCATTGCAATCCAGTACCAGCAGACTTACAGTAATGGAGTTCAAAATGAGAGTGTGAATTGGGCTCAGGATTCTGTGCACTGAAAGGGCATAGCTGGAGTTACAGTGGGAGCTGTTAGGAAAAGTCTTGCATTTCCTGAAACCGCAGATGTCGAGCTTTATTGAGAGGGAACTGGAGGAAGAATCTTTTGGGGTTTAGCTGGTTCTGAGCACAACCCTCGGTACAGAGCAGTAAGAGGGAAATAAGCCACGGTGTGGGGTTAAGAGATAGGGATAGGTAATGAAATAATTTTTAATCTAGATTTAACAGTGTTGGCTATCATGAATCTTTGGTTTTTCATCTCTCCACAATCAATACTTGCCAGCATCTAATCATCTCCAGGTCACTTGCAGGTGATACTGGTTTCAGCCCCTGTTCACTGCACTGCAGCCTACCCCAAGTGTTCCCCCTTTTCCTCCCCAGGACGGATTAGCCTGGACATCTGTGACATGGTCAATCTGACACTTGACAAAAGATGTGGAATTCAATCTAGAACAGGTGCTCCCAAAAGCCTTCATCCAGGTGCTACCATTGGCAGCAGCAGTTGTGGTGGACAGCTTCCAGCTCTAAGTTGGACCACGTGTGAGCTGTGTACTGCTGGTTCCCTCATTGCTGTTTGGAACCCTGTGCTCCAAGATAATCCCAAATTCATTCCCAAATGCTGGAAGTTGTATCGCTTTCTCCTGAAAAGGTTGGGGGATATATATGTTTTAGGCAGATGAAAGAGTATAATCTAGGATTGAAGATAGCCATGGGTAGTGTTTCATATATGTCCCAATAGGCTTCCATGAGTCCATAAAAAATACTTTAATCTTTATCACATTTCTCTGTGAAATATCATGTGCTAGTCTTGAGATGAGTTTAGCTGGACTCTTTCAGCTTTTGAGTTTGTCAAATAAACATTTAGAAACACCTTTTTTTTTTCCCCCAGAGTAATGCCTTTTTACCCTTTGTCTTGTTTCTGCTTTTTTTTTTTTCTTAATTATTTTGTATCCCTGTCTCTGAAATGATGTGATATACAGAAGCTTTGCTTCATTTGGTAGAATGTGGCTCACAGCTGAGGGCAGTCAACAAGAGATCAAGTCAGCTATTTTTGTGTTGTAGCTTACTCTTGATATTTAGCATAAAGAAAAGCAGTTACTTACTATTGTTGAACAGAGAATCAGAAAAAAATGGGTAGGGAAGAATGATGCTGTAGTGCATACAAATGGCAAAAAGGCTTATAAAAAGGAAAAAATGCAAAAATGTCTTTTGCACAGGCTGCAAGGCAATTTTTCTTACACAAGATAGTAAGTACATTTCAATCCAAAGCAATTATGGTTTAAGCATTATGCAAAAATCCTGCAGATTTAACAAAAATGCTACTAAGTGCTAAATATGAATAACCTGGAACGTTCCTTCCCCCCCCTCAAAAGCATAAAAATGGTATTTTGGTTTTGCACAGCTAAGTAAATTTGACTTAGTTTTAGATGGCTCTTTTCTCCTGTGTGTTGCCAAATGAATTGCGTTGTGAATCCTCATTTTTTGTAACATCCTCTTCCAAACTTGAGAGATGTTGCTGCCTTTTTCCCATTTCCTGTGCAGAGAAAAAGCCATAGAGTTTAATTTTCATTAAGAGCTTCTTTGAGATCGTGGCAGAATTTGGTGATGGCAGTTGTGTCATCTTACAGTCTGACTCATCCCAGGCCAGGATCGTCTCTAGAAGTTCTTCTGTAGGTAACATAACCACTAGCAGCTAATAATTAAAGAGGAGAGGCTTAGGAAAAGCTAACAACTCCATTAATTCAAAGCCATGTTAGGGAAGAGTTACTCCTGGGAGTTGTTTCTCGCAAATAATTCCTCTAGTGAGGATATAGTAAGAATGCTTCTAAGGTGAGAGGTCCACCCTGCAAATTAGTGCATTGGGCCTTATTAATAGATACCACTTCATCTTGGGGCTGAGCTGGGCAACCTGGGAGAGCTCATCTTAAAAGGAGACACTAACTACAGAAATACTTGATTTGGTGAAGCTACAAAGAGGTCGCCCTGGGTTTCTCAGCAACCAGGTCTGTCCCACCTGGCTCTTGTTCAGGACTGTGGCATTTCTGTCCTCGTGAGGAAGAGGAGAGGGGCAAATCCAACATCAGCTGCTCCTCCCAGGCTTTACAGAGAAAAATGAACCTCAGGTTGCTCTAGTGCTAAATGCGCTGCTACTTGCTTGATTGTACCAGTGAATAGCTCTGAAATTTTTAAGAAACCTGAGTGGAAAATGAGAGGGTGAGTGATTTGTTTGGGGTTTTTTGGTTTTATTCTAGTTTAAAAAAAAAAAACCCCAAAAAAACATGCTTTAAATGTCTGTAAATGACATTTAAATGCCTGTAAATGTAAAAAGCTGTAATGTCTTTAAAAAAGACATTACAAAACTACTTTTTCAGCAAGAAATCTCTCTGCACTCCTTACTAATCCTCCTTCCCTTCACTGTCCTTTTCTTGTGCTTTCCCTCTAGAAATATTTGATTTTTACCTTCTATATATCTTATCTTTGTATATATCATTGTATTTCAGTATTTCTAGTTCCAGTAGTGTTAGGGCCTTTTAAGAAAAGTGCCAATCAAATGGAAATCCTAGTTTTCCCTTAATGGTTGTTTGTCAAAAGCTGTAGCAGCTGTGGCCAACATTCATATTCAGATTCATTTTGCTTGCTTTTAAGATCATAAAGAGTTACTTCATTGTCTGTTCCTAATTTATATTAACTTTCCTTGTTTCAATCATTTGTTTTGGTAAGTAACTGTTAGAGGCATGTCTTCCCTCCTCTTTCCTCCAAATGCCATGGTATAGTGAATAATTAGTTGAAGTTTGAGGTGATCTGTTCCCTAACCCATCCTGTAAATATCAATGCTAACAACAGTGTCTTGTGTTTTTTTCTTTTTCTTTTTTTTTATCAATGTGCTTCTTCCTGTGTGAATAATTATGTGTCTAGAAACAGCCATGGAGTGATTTTGCTGTACTGAATGGGGGAAAGATTAATAGTGACATTTGGAAGGCAAGTATATTGTCAGATTTTAGAACCTTTAATACTATTACCCTTTTTGTTTTTTGCATGGCAGTGGCTGTTTTTTTCCCCCCCTTTTTATTTTTTCATGAATGTCATTCATAACCTAGGCCAAAGTGAATGGGGGTACTGCTAGGGATGTCTAGCTCACAAACATGCTGCCTTTTCTGTCTTTCCACTTGGAATGGATTCAGTCTAAACTAGCAGGGCAACAGCCATGATGTAACGAATAAGATGCCTGCACTGAATGAAACGCAGCTTGAGAATATATGCATGCCTCTTTTCAACTTCAGCCAGAAATACTGTCGCTTCTTTGCAGGGAGAATTTAATTTCTCTTTGAAATAAGACATAACATGGTGGTGTACTTAATACTATATTAACAGCACTTAATGCTATACTAATAGCACTGCCTTTGTCTCTAGGATCTGCATGCAGCCACTGTGAACCCAGATCCAAGTCTGAAAGAGTTTGAAGGAGCAACATTACGCTATGCCTCTTTGAAGCTCAGGTACAGTGACTTCAGAAGTCTCTGTGGAATGACCAGCTCCATTTGTGTTGTGCTGTAATTTTTATATGATTTTAAGATTGATTTTTGTCTTGTTTTTTTCTTTTTTCTTTTTCCTGTAACAGAAATGGTCCACAGTCTGATGATGATGATTCTTGTAGCATCAACAGTGATCCAGAAGCCAAGGTCTGTAAGAAGTCCACAATGGGATAACAATTTAAAAATTGCAATTGTAAACACAACTGGCAAGGTGCAGAATGTCTCCTTGGTTTTGAAATTAACTATACTCCCTGCCTTGGCACAATGTAGATTGACCATGCAAGACTAATTCCATCAAAGGAATTTGCAGATCTAAAGTTTCATTCACTTTGGTCAGGAAAGTGTGACATTTTAAAATCACATAAGCCAAAAAATAGAATGTTACAGTTCACCATTCTGCTGTACAATTGTAATAAGTGACCCTTTGCACAACTAAGTGAGTTTTCTGTCCTGTGTGAGAGAGGACTCTCTTGTTTGTCATGGCTGGATAGCTTCCTGGGGCATTTGGTGACAGAATTTGCTCTTTATTCTTGAGTTTGTCCTCTTTTTAAGTATTCTTCCTTGTCTATGTGGCTGCTTTAACTAGCAGCTAGTAACACTAAGAACTTTGTATTTTAGAACAAAGAAGTTCTAGAATTTTAGAACCTCTAGAAGAAGTTTAGAACCTAGTTTGAGGACAAAATTTATAGAGAAAAATGAGAGCATTATGTGAAGAAGCACCATAATTAAATCAGAACCTTTACTGTTGTAATCTAAGGCTTTTGAGGAGAAAGAAGCAGCAGAAGGTTTTGAATTCTTGTATACGTATCTCCAGATTTTTCTTGATGATTTTTCCTTGTGCTTGCATTCATTTTTAAGGATGTATGTGAATCTCTATAATTGAAAATCCAAGTATTTTAAACAAGTGTTTTGTCTCTGCCATACACCTGCAGTGACTGACAGGATCAGAAGCTACTTACATACAGGAAGACAGTATATAACAGAGTTAATAATTATAATAGCATTAATGATATATTTTAGGAGAGAAAACAGACTGATCAGGGTACTTCTTTGTCATCTTGATTATTTAGCTTGTGATGTTTAAATCAGATGTGAATAAATGTGTTTTGCTTGGCAGGCTGGCAGTTAAAAAGCAAGGGTTTCAGCTGCGCTCATTACAATGACAACCACTAAATTCTGAGCACAGTAAATAGTTGGAGGAGTGATGAGCATTAGGTACCAGTCCTCAGAACCAGAAAGTTGTTCCTTTCAAGATAAGCGTTTTGGTTTGAAAGGATTATAGGGAAGCAGTATTTTGATAGATCTGACTCTCTTACCAGGCGATTTGGTCTGGGTAGAATTAGGAGCCCTTCCTGCATGGAGAATTGTGTTTGTATTTGTGTGGGTGAATGACTCGTGTCGTCATCTCCCTTCCCTCTCTGGCTTGCTCTTTAAACTTCAAAATGTATGGAACTGATACCCATCCAGTGTCTGTGAAATGGGTCAATGCCAAAAGTTTGTCCTCTTTTGTCTATCACAGCTGGTTTTGTTTCTCCTGTTTAGGCAAAACCATGCTGATGACACTTAAACGGGTAACAAAAATTGGGCGCTGAAACATTCACAGAGGTGACTGAGAGGAGCCAGGCAAGAAATAGAGGAGAAACTATACATGTTTGGGTTTTTGTTGGGGTTTTGTTGTTGTTGTTGTTTAAATCAGTTGAATCAAAGCCCCTTCCCTGCCATATATCACTGCCTGATGGGGATGTTGTGCAGGGGCAGTAGTGGCTGTGTGCGTGGTCCTGCAGGTGAAGCTCAGCAGTGCTGATGTTGCTTTGCAGTGGGAGAGGCTGTGGGCAGAGCTGTTAAGTGCATCTGCCTCTGCCCCGAGGACAGGACGAGCAGCTGCTGCATGGCCGTACCTGCAGTGGTCTGGAAACATCAGGGGAAAATCTTCACCTGTGGAAAATACTCTTTAATTCTCACATGAATGGGAAGGGGTTGTGGTAGGTGGATTCCTTGCTAGCCCATTTTACCCAAAATATTGAGAGACTGAAGGAAGTCTGATAGGTTTTGAAATTGATGATGTGAGACTTGGCAAATGAGATTTTTTAGCCCCTTAGGCTCTTCTCTGCCACATGATGTGGCACATTAACTATATTTGATCGAAGCTTGCTTTTGCATGGCAGCAAGCACAAACACTTTTTCTTCATTTCAGCACGAGAGAAGGAAGCTTTTTTTTAAAACTCGTTAAACTCTCTATTGGAAGAATTCGTTAAAATGAACCCTGTTAGAGGTATTTGAGAAATTTTAAACCTATTCATTACATTGGCTAGTACATTTGAAAAAAAATTAAATTAAAAAGTTACGTTTCCTCAATGGCACGGAGTTAATGTGGTCTTTCAGCGAAGGGAACCATGCCACCTTGTGGAGAACTGAAGTAGTTGTCTTCCCCCAGGGTCTGTCAACTTCTGCTAAGATTGTAGTGCTGCAGAAATGTCAGTTTTGGGAAAAGTGTGTCATATAATTCATGCAATTCTTGTAATAAAAGTGATTTATGCAGCAACATAGTTAGGCATTCAAAATTGTCAGTAAGCAACAAATGTTTCTTTATATACAACATGTGCTTAAAGATGCAGTTCAGAGCTTCATATCCTTGGCATCTTGATGCAAGTTCTCTGCACAAGGCCATAAAAGAGAATGGGAAGCAGGAGAAAGGGGAGAATGATTACATCCAGCTTCTTGATTTCAGTAATTTATTTTGGTAGGAAGAGATGGCTCATTGTGCTTGACTAAGGTCCTAATTCTGCATGTGAAACATGCACAACTGGAAATCAGTTTTGAATTGGTACTTCCCAGGAGACAGATCATGACCTTCCTGGTTAATTTATAGAGCAACCTGTGCCTTCCTAATTGAATTTCAAGGCAGATAAAAAGATGCTTTTACCAATCCTGGACTATAAATTCCTCTGGGCTGTCTCTTTTTTACATTGTTGTAAAATATGATGGCCGTGTGTAAAATATAGAAAGATGCTAAATTTTTTCCTTGTGGTCATGCAAAGAAACTGAATCTGCTGGGAAACCTGTCTTTGCCCCTAGGAATGGGATGAAAAATGGACAGTGACCCAATCTTTCCAAAATGTTTTCAGAATTGGCCTGTTTGGCCTGACATTTGGGCTCATCTTTATTCTCTACTTTTAAATGGGGTTTTCTGCTAAGGCTTAACTTAGTCTTTCTGTGTTTTGTTTTGTTTTGTTTTTTTAAATTCCCTGTCCACATTAGACTGTTCAGCAGAGCTTCACTTAAAGCCCTTGCCATTTTATAGTAGTTTCAGTTATATATCGATGTCTAAGAATGGGAAGAATGTATTTATACCTGCGGAAGTACTAGGCAGTTGCTCCAGAAGTCTGTTTACTAGTTTAGAAACTAGTAAATGCTCAGTGTCTCAAAAGAAAGGAAGAGGAGATTATTTCTAAGCAGGGTGGAGGTAGGAGATGCTGGTACCAGGTATTTAAATTCAATTACTTAACTGTAGGTGAATGAAAACACAGCTGGAGACATGGGAAGTGAGTTGGTGATCAACTCCTACGGATTACCTGGGCATTAGGGATTAACCAGTTACGCTTTTTGAGGTGATGTGAGGGATGTTTCTGACAAGCTGTCTTGTCAGACCACCTGTGGCTGCCATGAAAGTGGCCTGTAAATAGCACCTTCGAAGTAATTTTACAAAATACTATGTGCCCCGCAAAGAGCTAATATCCACCTATCTTCTGCTTTTCTTGCTATGGAGGTGGGTATGTGTGTTTTGGAGATTTCCTACATTTCCTTGTTTCTGGTCTTCTCCAGAAGGAAATATCCTGGCTAGACACAGGACCATTAGTAAATAATCAGCATGTCTCCTTGGTAGTGGAGATGAGTCTAATTTCTGATGAAAGTGAAGACTTAACCAGAGAGGAGGAGTGTTTGCCATGTCTAGTAATTCCAAGAAAGGATCATCTTTTCACACTGAAGTCCATAATTCTTTCTCACAGTCAGAGTAGCTTCTAAAATTGTTGGTGCAAACAAGGAGTATTCAACATTTTCCAGCAGTTTCACAGTCCACCTCATGCTGCATATAATCTTCTCATGAGCATATGAAACACTACAAAAAGCCTCAGTTCAATTCATTTCAATGAATGATCTCAATTTGATTAATTAAATTTGAATTTATTCCATCTTAAGCCTCCTTACAAAAAATATTAAATGTAAAAGAAAAATGAGGCATCTTCAACAGTTTTTCTCCCAAAATGGTACTTCTGCTTGTTTTTGGAATAGGAATTTGTTTCTTTCAAAAACAGTCCTTGGTTTTTATTCCCTAGGAAACAGGACTTGTTACAGGGTAGAGGACTGGAAGAAATCTTGAACCCATTCCCTTACCCTTATAGGGAACCACTTTTTTTTTTTTTTACTTTGACTAGTCTTACAGACAAACTGATTGAAGTATTACCTTCCTTTGGTCAAAAACCTTTTAACCTAAACTTTTTGAGGCCATTTTTTATCCTCTTATTCTATGTTTAGACATTTTCTACTGCGTTTATAGCAGGCAATTATGTCTCTTCTTCATCTTAATTTTATTAATGTAAACAAGCCAAGTGCTTTTCATTATTCATAATGAGGCTAGGAGGGTTGCCGTCTTCTTCTGAGTCCCTGTTTCCCTGACTTTTGTAGCAGCTCTGTGTTTTCTGTCTTGAATTTATAACCATGGGCCATCAGATTTGTTACTTGGGGTGGAGTTTTTCCAGGGTCCTGTAGGGTAGCTTTAAAATGTCCATACTCCGTCCATCCCATCCCACCAGTCCCACACCCAATCAAATCAGAATCAAAGAATACCTTCTGGGCCTGTGAAGTTCCAGTACTGCTTGTGACTTTGTTGCAGGATTTGCAATCTTTTGACCAGGAATTGTTGCTGGGGTAATAAGAACATAAATAGCAATTGCATCACAGGAGGGTAAACGATGCAGATGGGAGCTGTGTGAGTCACGCTTTTCCCTTGAAGCAGTTACTACCTCGAGTGCCGTGGGTGGCCAGGTTGCACGGGCAGTTTCGGTGCCTGCCAGTGACGGCTTTCCCCGTGGCGAGGTAACTTCCCTGGCTGCCGGCTGGTGAGGCAGCATGCCCTGCCTCCAAAATCA